GATCGATGTTTCTCTCTCATCGATGTTTCTAACTCTCTATCCCTCTCCCTTCCTCTCTGTAAAAAACCAATAAAATATATATTAAAAAAAAAGAAACAGTACCAGGTTTCCCCAATGGTATTAAAAAAAATACATTCACAGTCCTAATTAAATAAACAAGTCCTTAGCTGAGGAACAGTCCTCTCCCGGATGGATCCTGTGGTCTTTTGACATATACATGTCATTCTTTGAGCACTTCTTTACTTTCTGGCTCATCCTTTTCTCTCCTAGACCAAGTATGTGTGTGTTTTCCTAATGGAAACAAAATTCACATAACAAAAACATTAACCATTACATACTTTAAATTGTTAAATTTCTGTGGCATTTACTACATTCACAACGTTGTGCAATTATCACCTCTATCGAGTTCCAATTCATTTTCTTCACCCAAAAAGAAACTCTATGTGTTCCCCCTTCGCCCAGCCCCTGGCAAACAATCTGCTTCCTGTGTCTCTGGATTTGCCTATTCTGGATCTTTCATGTAAGTGGAACCATACAGTATGTGACCTTTTGTGACTGGCTTCCTTAGCATAATGTTTCCAAGGTTCGTCTATATTGTAGCATGGATCAGCACTTCACTCCTTATAGTGCAATAATACTCCATTGTATGGCTGTACCACCATTTGTTTATCCGTTCATCCACTGGTGGCCATTTAGGTTGTTTCCATCTTTAGTGATTGCAAATAGTATCTCAATGAATATTCAGGTGCAAATAGTTATTTAAATACCTGTTTTTAATTCTTTTCGGCATATTTCTAGGAATGGACTTGCTGGGACATATGATAATTCCCTGTTTAGCTTTTTGAAGAATTTCCTAATTGTTTTCCAAAGTGACTGCATCATTTTGCATTCCCATTAGCAATGTACAAGGGTTCCAATTTCTCCACATTCTTGATAACACTTTCCTTTTTTTTAAAAAAATATATTTTATTGATTTTTTACAGAGAGGAAGGGAGAGAGATAGAGAGTTAGAAACATCAATGAGAGAGAAACATCGATCAGCTGCCTCCTGCACATCTCCTACTGGGGATGTGCCCGCAACCCAGGTACATGCCCCTGACCGGAATCGAACCTGGGACCTTTCAGTCCGCAGGCCGACGCTCTATCCACTGAGCCAAACCGGTTTCGGCCACTTTCCTTTTTTTAAAAAAAGTTTTGTCCAATCTAATAGGTGTGAAGTGGTATCGCATAATGGTTTTGATTTGCATTTCTCTAATGACTAATGATATGGAACATATTTTCATGTTGTCGCTGTTGACCATTTTTATATTTTCTTTAGAAAAATGTCTACGCAAATCCTTTGCCTACTTTTAAGTTGGGTTGTTTATCTTCTTTGTTGTTGAGTTGTAAGAGCTCTTTGACACTATATTCTTACCAGGTAGATGATTTTCAAATATTTTCTCCCATTCTGTGGATCATGTTTTCACTCTTTTGATAGTGTTCTTCTTTTTAAAAAAATATTTTTATTCATTTCAGAGAGGAAGGGAGAGGGAGAGATAGATAGAAACATCAGTGATGAGAGAGAATCATTGATTGGCTGCCTCCCACATGTCCCTGAAAAGCCCACAGCCCTGGCACATGTCCTGGAATCTGACCATGACCTCCTGGATCATAGGTCAATGCTCAACCACTGAGCCACATGGGGTGGGCTTGATAGTGCTCTTTGATGTACTTTAAAATTTATACATCACTTTCTCTGGGAAGTCTTGATTTAGTGTCATTTGTCTGTGTTCCAGTGGCAGTATTTAACTTCCTTAATAGGGATTTTATCTCACTGCACTGAAGTTAACTGCTTACTTGTTGGTCTTTCAAGCTCCCTGAGGATACCTAATGGAGTGCTTGACTGAATATGGGCCATAGGCCACTATCCATTTTCTGATCTACCTGGTATACTCCTCATAACAGCAGGCACAAGTGGGGAGCACTGAAGTGGGGACTCTCCCAGTATCATATCATCATATCAGCCATTAACAGTTGCTGCATTGCCCCTCCACCCCACCCCCCATCCCCAGATTTTAGCTGATCAGTGACTCTCCCAGGGTTGTTTCTCTACACATAAGTCAGGGGCTACTTTTCCTGTCTTACCCTCAACCAACAACAGTCTGATGGCCCTTCTCTCAGCTGGGGAACATCCCTTGAAACCATCACCTTGTGTGAAATCTGTTACCCCTAATTCTGAGATCACTATGTTATATTTGCCTGGAAATATTAGATTGAATATATATTCAATACCTGACAATTTCATATGGTTATTCTATATGTGATTTTGTAAATTGGACATATATCTGAGAAGCTAATTGTACTGTGATGCAAACTGTGAGTAGTTACAGACTGGTAGGATGATGGGGTTGGGCAGGTGGGTCTGGGACAGCTGGAATTTGTGGTGCAAGTAGAGGCAGATCAGGGAGATAGAACAGATGACAAGAGAAGCTGGACTAGGGCTTCCACTCATTTTGCTCTCTTTGGAAGTGAAATTATTTGGTTCGGAAGTGCTTTGCCTGAGAGCCCACGCGGGCAGGCCCAAGGCCACTGCTCAGACCCCCAGACCCCCGGGCCCTCTCAGTGGGAACCTGGAATCCTGAACTGATTTCCCAGCAGCAGGTCCAAGCAGGTTCAAGCAGGCCCACGCAAACCCTAGGGGGCAGCAAAGGCTCGCAGATTTCTCCTTACTGTATTTTTTTTTTTAATGAATTGCTCTATCACTCTTAGAAATTTAATGTTGAGTGATTTTATAATCCGAACTAGACTGTACGACCAGAGACCCTGTTTGTCATTTCCCTTCCAGAAATAGGTTACCACCCTCTCCGCTCTCCCAAGGTCATTTCCAGGAAAGGCCAGAGATTTCCCTCGTGCTGTAGAGGGTGTCCCCCCGCCAGATTAAAATAGAGAGCTGTGGCGGGCGGAATAAAACATTGGCAGAGTCTGAAACCCTCGGTGCGGGGGGCCGGAAAG